GGACCGGTTCCATGACGAGGACAAAATCCTCATTGTTTCTCCTGAATCCAAGGACTAACAGGTAGTTCCCTGGCATCGGCTTTACCAGGGATACTGAGGCGTGTGATCCCTTTGTTAAAACACACTTTTGTTAAAAACGGGATCCACCACCTCAGCTGTCAATCCAGAGGTAACAACTTACAGAAGCATAAGGGGCGATCGTGGCTCAAGAGTTGGGTGTTCGTCTTGTAATCGGAAGGTTGCCGGTTCGAGCCCCAGCTCCGACAGTCTCGGTTGTTGTGTCCTTGGGCAAGACACCTCACCCGTTGCCTACTGGTGGTGGACTGTCCTTTTTTCAGCTGTAGTCGTAAAAAAAATGTCTACAGTAGAAAGTGAAAAGCAGAAACTATTCTGTCATTTCATTATTTATTGTTTAATTACTTTGTGTAGTATGAATGGCTACAAGGGAGGGTTTTATCAATAGGAAAAGCTGCAAAAAATATGAAAATACAGTTAAAAGTCTGCTTGTGCTTGTTTGTGGTGAGCAGCAGATCAAACAACTTAAGAATTATAAATGGCTTCAAGTGCACATTCAGGCCTTTTAGACTCATTTAGACACTGAGCCACTGCTCTGTGCTACATGCAGATATTCCCGCATCCCATTCAAAGACACTTTGTATATAGTTTATTTTATGTAATATTTAGTATTATAAATTAAGTTGCTTTCAAGGAAGTGTTTTTATGCATTTTCTCCTACTATGGAGCACACACATGAGGTTTAAGGCCTGGACATGTTTGACATCTTTTGTCCTCCACGGCTCAAAATAAAAACTGAAATCACCTTAGGCAGCTCCTAATTCAATAAATTCTGCAATCAGCTTTGCAGTCTCCAATATCACTGAAATGCACCTTGATGATGCTCATTTTACATTTTGCTCCTTTCTTCACTTCTTCCAGACACTTTTCAGTTTACTTCTGTGTACCTGGCCTGTATGCCTCTACTGGCTGGCTTCAGAACGTCTGCCCCCCCTTTCTTGTTTCACATAAAGGTTTGCATGTGATTGGCCGGATGGTGTGCCCATCAAAACAAAGTCCCACTCCTTCCTGGATTCTCAGCAGGGCTGAAGATTCGGCTCGCACATACCAATGGGCCATTAATAATTGACATATGAAATTATCTCACTCGCCTGATACAATTATATCCGGCCCACGGGCCATATGTTTGACACCGCTGCTCTAAACTCATCAGGAAAGTGTTTACTGAGGTCAGAGCTGGGAGCAGTTTTGCCTCAGATTTCTACAGATTAGATTTTCTTCACTTTTCAGACTTGGAAGCTTTTATGCTCTCTGTGCTGTGTACTGTTATTAGATTATTTGAAGTGTCTTATTAAAGAAGCTTAAAGGCTTGGTTCTCACAGAAATTCTGGAGTCATAAGTATCTTCTCTCTAATCTCTCTGTGATTTATAACTAGATTTATGGATGTTTACTTGAGGGAGCATGTTTGAGGTGGATAATGACATCTTTGGTAAATGTGACACTGAATCCAAAAGCATGCGTGTCGTGTTTGCATGACCAGCTGTGACTCACAGGGATGAGGATTTTGGAAGCAAATTGTGAATATCAGGCTTAATTTGCATCCGCAATTCTTGAAGAAAAGAGAAACTCATGCGGCAGAGACGTATTAATATGAATGCATCAAAACCAATGTTTGTATCCTATAATGAAAGCTGTGTGTTTAGATCGATGGAAAAACTGCCACCTGCATTTTGCCATCTGTTAGAGGCCAGATGGATGCGATGCTATGTAAATGCACTCCTACAGTAACGTGTTGACTAATGATAGCTGTTTATTCATTGACATCTCTCAACTGTGATTATTGGCCTTGATTCATCATGAAATCACAGGCTATAAATTGCGGACAAAAATCAGTTTATATCTGAAACTTTCCGTAACTTGAATCAAGTTATACAATTGATCAAGTTTGTAGCAAAAATGTAAACCTCATTTCCAGTCCATGAATTCAGTTAGTCTTTTTTTCCCCTGTTCTTCCATCTATTGCTGTGATTTTTTGAGGAACTTACAATTGTCACTGCTCTAAGTCTCAGCAAACTCTATTCAAAGTAGACTTTTTTCCCTCTGTGTGTCTTTTAAGTGAAAAAAATGTTTCACATAGCTTTGGACATGAGAGAACTTCAAATGTTCTAAAAAAAAAAATCCTCTCTTTACTCTTTTCAGACATAAAGCTACTAAAAAGCAGCCATGTGAAAACATTACTGTGGCGTACTACTTCTGTGAGGAGCTGATACCTTACAGGACTTCTGTCAAAGGGAGGGTTGTCACGCTGGGCCAGTTCAAAGAACTGCTAACAAAGAAAGGAAATTACAGGTGAGACTCACGGTGCTACTGGGTTACATGTGGGGTGTCTTCTGGTATCAAAGAAAGTCAAGTTGACCTTGTATTATTTTTTTTCTCTTTTTAGGTATTATTTCAAGAAGGTAAGCGATGAGTTTGACTGTGGGGTGGTGTTTGAAGAGGTACGTGAAGATGACGCTATCCTGCCCATCTTTGAGGAGAAGATCATTGGCAAAGTAGAGAAAGTTGACTAAATTTTAAAGAGGAGAGAGCCGAGTAGCCAGCGTATGATGGACTGAGGAGCAAGTGGATGGTGAAGAGGAAGTGCTTTACAAAGGAGAATGGATAAGGAGGAAAGAAAAAAGGTGGATCCAGAGTCAGAAGATTATAGTAGTGGTCATTGACTTCTGTATCACGGCTGCAGTGAAGTTGGACTTGAAGAAGAAAAATCTCATTTTCCTTTTGGAGTGTAATGTAGCATTGTAACGTTTACTAGAAAACAAGAACAAAAAGTGCTACTAATGCTACGTATTTTTGATAATGACTTATCAAAGGGTTTCCTTTCTAAAATAACTACACTTGTAATTTTTATATGTATTCATACCAGATGTGTACAGTTTGTGTTAAAACACAGCAAAAATTTTCTATCTATTTAAGTATTTAAATTGCTACTTTTAAACCTAATTAAAGCTGAAGCGTCGCCCCTCGTGAAGACGATCCGATTCCTCGATAGGGCTGATTCTTGTTTGCTTTTTTTCATCAATTGTAAGAGCCCTCTGGACGCTAATGTTTGTGACTTTCAAAGTGCTTTTAATACTTCACTTCTCAGAACTTTATTTAGAGGCATTAAATCAGACTGCTTGTTCGTTATATTATATACTACTGACTCGGTGTAGACCTTCTAAAGAACCCATTCTTGCAACCCAGTGTAGGAATGTCACATTTGATTAATGTATTTAAAATATATTTAAAAAGTCCAATACAGAACAGATTATAATGTCTGTTTTATGGCTCAGTCACACATGAGTAAAAGTAGGATGGCAACCTTCTTGCAACAGTTTGATTGCACTGAATTTGGTTTTTTTTTATTAGTCCTTTATTTATCCAGGTAAAAAATCTCATTGAGATTAAAAATCTCATTTCCAAGAGAGACCTGGCATCATGGCAACAAAAGTCACATACCACATAGGTATATAACATTTAAAACAAATACAATATCCCACAAAAACATATGTAAAATATACAATAACAGATCAAATTAAGAGTACATTAAAAACAATCACACTGAGTAAAAGAGCTGTTCTCTCGCTCCTTTAAGACAGACTTAAACTCTCCCAAGGTAACCAATTCTGATAATTTCAGTTCCTTCTGCAGATTATTCCAGGAAGCAGGGGCAGCGTATTTAAAAGCCTTTTCCCCCCAATTCTGTTCTGATTTTTGGGACAATCAATTGTATGATATTGTGTGAACGAAGGCTGTATTGGTTGTGGTTTTTACACATATAAACACATAAATAAGATGGAACCAGCCCAAGGAGAGATTTATAGATAAAGATCAACCAATGGGAGAGTCTGCGAATATGCAAAGATGGACATTTAGCAGCAGCCTACAAAGAACAATGATGTACACGATTTCCATAGCCAGTAATAAAACGTAAAGCACAATGGTACACAGTATCCAACCTCTTTAGGTAGTGGGCAGGTGCATTCATAAAAAGCAGGTCACCATAATCCAATAAAGGTAAAAAGGTTGCATGAATCAAATGTTTTCTCACTTGGAGGGAGAAACAGGATTGGTTTCTAAAAAAGCCTAGTTTTAGTTTTAACTTCGACACAAGCCTTTGAATGTGAGTCTTAAATGACAAATTCGGATCTATAATAATCTCTAGATACTTGTAAGATGTGACCATTTCAATTTCAGTTCCTTGAATTGTTTTAATCTTAGGAGACGTAGCTAACAACTCTTTGCCATTTGAGAATAACATGAACTTGGATTTCTCTGGATTTAACACCAACTTAAGTTGAGTTAAATGGGACTGAACGACATCAAAGGCAGACTGCAGAAATTGCAGGGTTTGTGCTACTGAAGGGGATGAACAATAAATAATTGTGTCATCTGCATAAAGATGAAATGCTGCATTTGACAAATTATCACAAAGGTTGTTGTTTGCTGTTGGACTGCAAGTAGTTATGGCCACAAGCCACCAGTGGTTTAATGTGCAACACCCTCAACCTGTGGGTGACCACTTTAGATCTCCTCTGCCATTTGAACAGGGCCAAGCAGTCACGATTTGAGTTGGACTGACTGCAGTCCTTCTTAGATTAGCAAAGACTGACAAATATCTGCCATTTAATTTATAAATGCAGACTGCAAACATATTCCAGTCGTTCTGAGTCAGTCTTCCTGCCTTGCATCGTTTTGCATTAGGGGACTTGATAGGTTGTCAAGCACCCATGCTAATTTGCAGTTAGTTTCTGTAGGACAGTAATTTATGTCACTATTTTTGGAGGAATCTGTGTTTCATATCTGTGAGGTTCTGGCTTGACTCTGAATGTAAGTAGTTAATGTGAATTTCTGTGTATGTAGTTGGCAACAGATTTTCTCTTTTTGGCGATTTATTGCGTGCCAACTTGACCCCAACGAAAGTTGCTTTAAAAATGGCAACTTACTGCATCTGGTTGAAGCAACCGTTACAAAGGCAACAAGACCACAAGTTTATTGTATGTGGCTTCAATTATTTCTTTTTTTTCGTCACAGTCTCTCAGCCACTGTTTTCCCTGGTATAGGTGACTGTAACAGAGAACAACCATATCCTCCATACATTTCACAAACATAAATATATAATCCAGTAAAACAGTAATGCAGCTTTATTGGGTTGGATTCCGGTTTGTTGTAAACTGTATTTTTCTGTTTTGCTGTATATGTCATGTAAGTGTGGCTTATTGCTATGTTCTTAAAGATTTGTCCATTACATTGCTTTTATCCTAAATTAAACTTAACAGGTGAAAATGGATGCAATAATAATGACGAAAAAGTTGTGATTAAAAATCCCAAGGTGAATACCTATGCAACTTGGTTTATAATTTTGGTTACCTAACAACAACAACAACAACAAAAGAACTATTAGGTGTTTGCGTTTTTTTAAGTCAACATAAGCACATTAAATAGAAAAAAATATATAATTAAAGACTTCACATAACTGTCAGGCTATAAAAAGTCAGTATCAATAAATTAAATAAAGCCAACATTTGAAACGGCACGAGATTTATAAAGGTTTTGCAGATTTTTCGTTCTAATTATTTATTGACTTGTGTAAAACTGCTATTACCAGTTAAAATTATAACTTTTGCTTGTTTGAGGTAAACAAGTTTTAATTTTTTTTAAAATTTTTAAATTTTAATTATAGAATCTATTTAGACATCGTGATGCCAAAAAGCATCTCGATATCAATTTCAAGTTTATTTTTTGTCTTTTCAACTTTGAGGTCCTTAGTTGGCTGGTAAATTAATAAGGGACTGCACTAAGAGCTCATGTCTACTTGATAGCCTTTTCTAGCTTATAACAGTCACATATTGTGCCTGACAGGATGTGTTTATTGACGTTTAGTAAATTTGACGGACACGTTAAACCAAAGAGGAGGAAAAGGAGGCAAATGCTCATAAATGTTGAAGCCTCGTTTCCAAAATAGCTGTAAGTGAAAGCCTACAGAATTGATTTGATTTCAGCAACTTGCTTCAAAAAAGATTGGACAGTTTCATAATATACAAACATGTAAAATGTATTATCCAAGTAACAGGGTTTAAACCATTTAGGCTTTAATATATTTGAATAATACACTTTTACTACAGTGGTGTTTTTCCACCTGTTTGTATTCTCTGACTTTTTGATTTTGGCACCAGGTTTATACTGAAATATCTCACACAAAAGAAGTCAGCTAGGGTGTCTAAGGTGACATTAAGATTCAAGGCCTCCATGTTTTATTTTTTCTTATTTTCTGTTCTTCCTCATTGTGCTGAAGCAGTGTGCTATAATGAGTGTGCATTCCTTTGTAATGGAAAGACCCGTGGGCCTTGAATTCAAAGTGCTGTATTGTATGCGTTGTTGCGTAGAACCTCGTGTAAAGAATGCCTGCTTTTTTTTTCTTGACATGCTGCTTTTTTAGATTTCTAATTTAAGTCAGTTTAATATATGAAGTACGTTAGCCTTCTGTTGTCGTTTGCCTGGTAAATTGTGCATTTAACAAATTGAAATTTCCATTTATTATTTCTTTTAAAATATCAACTCTATCATCAGTCTTACTGTAATAGTCCCAGAAGTGAACTTCTCTTATTTAAGATCAGTATGTGGATAACAAACAGCAGAGTGCCTTTATTGCTATGCTAATGATGTCTTTAGTGTAACTTTCAGAGGGATATGGGGACGAGCTTTAATTTCGCATTGCCATGAGTTTAGTTCAGTATTTGTAACAGTTCCACCTTTTAATGTAAATATGTAAAACTTAAATTGCTCCTGACCAGCAGCCCAACTGTCACATTCAGTACCTTGGACCGGTTTCTGTTCAGTGACTGGCATGGGAACCATTTGAGGTACCAATAAATACTTGCAATAAAAAAGCACTTGTGTTCAATACAAATTGTTCCGTTGCATTTTTATTTGCTGAATTGGTTACGTAGTAGTGAGTGTTGTGGCACAATAAAATTTGTAGCCGTGCTAGGAAATGTAAAGGTTTTGTCAAAAATTTCCCAAGTGCTTTTGTTCAGATGAGATGAAGCGAGAGCTCTCTGGGCATAGAGACGCCACTTACATTTGTCATTGCTTTGTCTTCCAACATGACAGTGACCCAAAACATATGTCGCTCCCGGTGAAGAACAGCCTCGAGAAGACCAGAGTGAACATTACTGACAGCCCTGCACAAAGCCCTGACTTATTTATCTGTGGGGTGAAGTGAAGGTTGAGGTCCATGCCAGAGAACCACTAAATCTGGGGGATTTGATGAAAAAAGAGTGGGCTGGGATTGCTCAAATGACTGCAGGCTGTCATCCCCCCCAAAAAATACACAATTGACTGTTAGCATCAGTGAGGCTAAATGTTTAAAAAAATCCTTGCTCTATTTAAAAGCAATTGGGGAATACTTTAAAAATAAATACTTCATAAGGTTGCTAAAAATGCCGTACTATTTCTTATAAGCATTTAAAGTGCAGCACATTCTGGAGCTACACCTTAAAACAAGTGCTAACCCAGGGATAAAGTAGGCTGAGACACAGTGATAGGGGAAAAATCACATTAGCTAATTTCTTCCTCCATCACAACTGTATGCAGGTTGAGCTTTTATTTATTGTTAAAACATTTTATATTGTTGTAGCTTAAATTTATGATCTTAGTGTACTGACACATGCAACTGTACCCATCTGAGTCATGTCATCTTTCAACCAGATTATAGGTGTTGATGGCTTTTGGAGCACTACAGTACTGCATGATACACACCACAAGAGAACAACTGTGCCTTTGTTTTGGTGAGTGTGGTGGTGGTAAGAATTTTAGCATTTGACTTGTCTGTTTCATCATTAATTATCAGGCTTCTATCTTTCATATACAACCTATGGTTGGAGCTCCAGTCCATACGGATGGAGTGACCTGTGACACCAATGAGCAGGCCCCCAGGATAATGATATGTAAAATGTAAACTTACTTTAAATAGCTAATTACATACTGAATATTAAAGAGACTGGATATTCAACCATGTTTTGTGGAAAAAGGCCACGAAACCCTTTGACCCCATAGTTCCAGTATCCTTTAATCATTACCCTTGGGTCAAACCACATTGATCTGTAAACTCGACCTCTATTTTGATCCCAGCCACATGTTTTGTGTCTTGGAAAAATCTGTCCACAGACATATACCACTAACCACACCTAACTTTTTGATATTTACTGCTGTTGTAGTCATCTCCAGGCCCATATTTTGCTGTGATAATCAACATGCATAGATGCACAGACTCATTAGGTGTAAACAACCCCTGTCCACACTGTCATTGCTGGTAATAATACCATGCTTCAGATAGCAGCAGCTTGGTACAACTGCAGTGTTTTGTTGCAGACTGTAGATGGCACTCACAGGGTGCTGGTAATAATAGATT